AAATAGAGAGAATGACAAATCAAATTAAAGTTGTTACGTCTTGTACACATAGATCCGGCCTGTAAATCCTCAAATCTCTTTTAGTATTCTAAAATTATGTAAATTGTTATTCTTATAACATTTATTCGATTTTTTCCAAAGGTATCAAACTTGCAACACTTTAGCATATCTCATATAGAAAAAGTATGTGAAAGATGCATGGTTTATAATGAATAATCAAACCTTAATTTACAAGATGCAATTTTAGTTGAAACGAAAGAGTTTTTATAAGAATTCGAAAGTTAAATCTGCTTGATATAAAGCAGTACTCGGTGTCACCACTCACCACGATGCGCATATGATTGATTATTTTCCTTCTCAGAGATTTTATGACAGATCATTTACAACCCAAGTGATCAATAAAAAACATGCGTAGATTGAGAAATTTTATTATAATTATTATATTTTGAGAACTTTTTTCTTCACAACTAATGTTTTTGGAAAATGTCCATTATAAAATGGAGGGAGGGCTAGGAAATAGGAATCGCCATGACTCAACCAAGCCCAACCCTATTGGCGGAGCTAGGTTAAGGATTGTGGGGTCCATGGACCCCACTTGGAAAATAAATATACATTAAGAATTGTGGATTTTTAAGGTGGGATTACTAAATTTAGAACTACGGACCCCCTCTTTCCGAGACAATGATTTTACTATCGAGTCAAACTTCGTATTTGGTTATGTTTGGACCCCACTAAATTATATCTCTGTCTACGCAAATGCCCAACCCACTTGAAAATTCTCGTCCTGCATGGCCACTAAGTAGTCCATGGAATTATCTCACATCTTCTGATTTATAGTAAAAAAAATTTCTTTTATTGCTAAGAATGGAAATTCATCAAGAGAAGCAAATTCCGACCCGCATAAATGTGTCGGAAATTTCTAAGAACAGTTGAGACAAGTACACAACTCCATCAACTTCAGCGCTGGCGCCAACATCTACAATGAAAAGGTTGCCGACAAATTAGTCATCAGTTCATCATCTGTTCATCTACTTTGTGGGTTGATTAGGATGTATAGCGCGCAGGAAAAGATTTTAAAAGAAAGATTTGCTGCAGAAATAACTGGGTCTGTTCACTTCCCCTTTGGACCTGGTTGACTATCTAGCTAGTTTCTTCATGAAAGGGATAGAGAGGACTTAGTGGTCGTTTGGAAGTTGTGATTTCAAATATTGTATTGAGCTAATTTGTGTATATGTGAGATTAAGTCGTTTTTTTTTTTTTTGCTTATATTGAACTAGAATAGGAAAAAATCCAAAAGTACCACTGTTTTAAAAAAAATTTCCAAAAATACCACCCAACCCCAAAAAATTCCAAAAATACCACCTTTTTCAAAAATCGCCACCTCACCCTGCGGTTTACACGAAAACCGCTGGGCGGGGGCACGGTTTACTATGCAAACCGCTGGGCTAAGGGGCGGTTTTGGAAACCGAACCAAACCGCTGGGAGGGGCGGCGGTTTTGGACCAAACTGCCACCCCACCCAACGGTTTGGTCCAAATTTTTTTTCCGATCAACTCCTAACTTCGGCCGAAACTTTAAACGAACGTAACTTTGCACTTGAGTATCCGATCGTAGCGATTTTCTTGTGAATCCGAATAACTTTTCGAGATCTTGCAAGCCGCAAACGAAGTAGTGCAAAGTTATTCGGATTAAAAAAAACAGTGGTACGATCGGTTTGGTCCAAAACCGCCGCCCCACCCAGCGGTTTGGTCCGGTTTCCAAAACTGCCCCTTAGCCCAGCGGTTTGCATAGAAAACCGTGCCCCCGCCCAACGGTTTTCGTTTAAACCGCAGGGTGGGGTGACGATTTTTGAAAAAGGATGGTATTTTTTGGGATTGAGTGGTATTTTTGGAAAAATTTTTTTAAACAGTGGTACTTTTGGATTTTTTCCACTATAATACAAGTATTTACTTTTTGGAGGCCCCACCACAATCACTCAAAATTGAGGGATTATCAATCTCTAATTTTTGTTGAGATTCTCCACAATCACTCAAAATTAACTTTTGTAGTTTTGTAGCAAAAACACTATCTAAACCTCCAAACAATATATTTGCCTAATACATCAATTGATTCAATACATCAAATGATAATACACTAATTGTCTCAATACATCAATTTGAAAAATCACAACTTCCAAACAACCCCTTAGTTGTTTGGCGGAGAGAGATCGACCTCTCTTTAATTCTGGCAATGAACAGCAACCAAGCAGTACTGAGGGATTAGGTAAAGGGCATTCATTGTTATCACATCAGCATCAAAGACCGGATCTACAAAATCCGAATCTCAATCCCTACCGAATTACCCAGCTTTAATTACTTTATATATATAATCACATGAGACCCCATTCTGCTACTGTAGTAAAGTTTTTTAATGTTTAGTAGGAGTGGAAAAACTGAGAGAAAAATGCTTCTAATCGTCGATCATAACCAGGCTTCAATAAGTTTTACACGTTACCTTCTTTCTTTCTCACAACTATATCACTTTACCATGATTGAAGGCCTAGACTGATTAGTACCAATAGCACTAATATACATCAATTTTTGTATATCATATACGGATTCCAATTCCGACATGTTTTGACAGATATTTCCTGTTCTAATTCAGGGTGGAGCGGATAAAATCCAATATGTGCTGCTAGGGCGGATAACACTTCATTTCCGCCAAATCTTCCTTCAACTTCTGCTGGCCATCGCGATAACACTTCATTTCCATTCATTGAGTTTATTTCTACCATATAAAATACAATTTGTTAGGTGGTTTTAACTTTTTCTTAGCACAAGATAAAAACCTTGTGCCACATACATGAGTTTATGATATAATCCGACCCTTTACAAGGTACGAGATAAGGTGGGTTAAGAATTGTCGGACGGGACAGAGCACGAATTTAACACTAGTAGTCCCCAACTCAACTCATTATCATTCCTATACTAAATAATAATAATAATAATAATAATAATAATAATAATAATAATAATAATAATAATGACGGCCTACTGTGCTAATTATCTAATTATTTTTAAAAAAGCCAACAAACTCATCATTGTCATCAAAGGCATGTAGCTATTAGCTAAAGGCCAAATGCTAAGACTATATGTAGGTCGTTAGCTAGGCTTGCTGGTTGCAGATAAGATAGGGGTAGGAATGCCAATGAATCCAAGGGCTTGGTTTAATAATGATCCACCTAAGAAACTATCTTTATTTGTTATGACTAGTTATAGACACACTATTCATCTTAGTATATGGTATATTAGCAAAAATTTGGGAGGAATCTTTGGAGTGTAAAGAGGTTACCTCGGGTAACCTAAGTTCACAAGCTTTTTTATAGTTATAAGTGAACTCCACGATCTAGTAACATGATTATCCTATGGAAATCCAACAATTGACGACATCGAGTTTGGCGTGCTTTTTTGTGGCAGTCTGTATCATTTTGGTTCGTCATTTTGACAGAGTGTATTCATTTGATTGGAGTACTCTCTTGTTTGTTAGTTTTGTAGTGGTTCGTTGCACTACGTAGTTCTATCTTTTAACGTAGGTTCAGTCCATAACTTTTGTCCTTCCTTAGGTTAGCAGTCGCGAATTTTGTCCAAATCGCACTTGTGATAATTCAGATTATCAATAAAAAGGATTCAACACGCACATTAGGTGTTTGCAACATGCCTCGTTCACTTTGCCCCACGTAAGTATAATAGAATTTTTCTCATATCGTGACAAAAAATCTCTCTTATCATTGGATTGTCTTCTGATTGACCTTTTTTTTTGTTCTACTTTGTAATTTTACTTGTAAAAATCTTGCATATATCTTTGTATCATGCTATTTCACTCGTGAGATAACTTTCCAAATAAAATAAAACAGTTGGGAGGAACGAAAGGACAAGACAGATAGATATCTTGCTTGCTGAGCCTGAGACCACCAACTCTTACTAAAAATAGCAGCCACAAAACAATCAATTTTTTTGGCATTTTCTTATTGGTACCTTGTGGTGGATTAACTTTCTTGCCACTGTGAATTAAATGCATTGATCATGACTGCCACAACAGTCCCTTTCTTCAACTTTTCTAGTGTTTGTTTCCCTGATATTGCTAATTCAACTATGAGGATTAGACCTTTTGCAAAGAACCAAGTACGGATATCCCCTCAACCAGCTCCTTAATGCGCTTAGAGTTGCAAATTACAAAGTACAAATAGCAAATAAACGAGTTATTAAGTGCAGGAAGTTCATTAATGCCGCTATTATGCATGATGAATTAGGACATCAAGCAAAATATAGCCAAAAGAAGCTAACCCAAAGTGTGGGTGGGGGGGGGGGGGGGGACAAAGGCACAAAAAGGGGATAAATGGAAGAATAAGAAGAAAGAAAACATGTTTTTTAAGATTTACACACTATTGATTCTAGTTCCAAATTCTAATTTAGCTGATTGCTCGATGTACGTCGTACGATACTTTTTTACTTTCTACATCTTCGAGCCTAACGTGATTAATAGTATACGCTAATCAGAATAACTTTTTGATCAATTTCCAAATTTATGTGAAAATTGTTAATAGTATACCAACAGCCCTCATATACCTTCATAACCATAACCATGAAGTTAGCAAACTTCCCCATTAGCATGATTTCAATGCTAGAATGAGGTTAAGCAAATGAAATTTACACCAAATTAAACCCAAAGCTCTAATCGATTTGGGTTGTAAGTAGGAGATATCGACCTGCAAACTCCCAGTATATATGATGACCCGGAACCCAATTGGCTTAAGAACTATGTATATACATCCATGAACATTTCCTCGAAATTCATCCACGTACACCTTCTTTCTCTTCCTCAACCCACCTCCTTCTTCTCGACCTCGTTGTTCATAATTACAATCATGAACCGGACGTCGAGTAAAGCAGTCATGATATTAGCAAACAGTACAGTATATATTGTTACTAAAAATAAGACGGCGAGCCACAAAGTAAAACACAATCACTTTTTACGGCATTATTGTGTCTAGGCCACAAGCTAGCTAGCTAGCTATTAGAGGAATGAATTAATGATAACTTCCTTTAACTTTTTCTTCAGTTTCCCCATGGAGTTGCCAAGTTTATCAATTACCCACAATTTGCTTGCTTAATATGTGGGTTAATTAATTAGGTGCTTCTCCTGAAATATCGAGTACTTGGACGATATTACTTATATGTACAACTTTCATATCTCATGAATTATAACGACATCATAAAACTCCATGTATAAAACGCAAAGGAAAACAGTAGAAATGAATGGACAAGAGAAGATGAACAAGTTTTATTTTCAAGTAGTACTCGATTACCATGAAACCACCCACTAAGCAAGAAAACAAACATGCAAGTGGACATCGAGCAGTAGAGAAACTCAACACAGCTGATAGCTGGTGATATTGCTGAAGCATTTGCCATTAATTCCTCATTTGCCTTCCCACTCATGACTCGCCTTCAGTTTCCCCCTCTGACTTAGCTTCCACACAAATTAATTAACAACAAAGTGATTATGCAAATGAAACCACCGACCAAAACCCAGATAATATATGAAGCTTAGCCGTTCCTCATTTGCCTTCCGTTAGGCAAATGAAACCAACGCCCAAAAAAACCCAGTTGAAACCTGGCCCGTGAAAACGAGGAAATTAAACAACTACTGTTTGTAATCCTCGATCAGTATCGATCGAAACCCTTATGCTTTCAGTTTACGCTTTATCACACTCATAGAGGCAGCGAGGCAACTGCTATATGTAGCCTTTTCTCTCTACTCGATCGATCGATCGGAAAATTTACTAACCTGCAGTACTTGTCTCGCTGCAGGAGCTCTCACACAGCAACTGCTCCAAGAAAGCAGCTCCAAGATCTTCAAACTCCACCACTTCCTCCTTTTTAAGATGCTGCTGATTCGATCGGCCTGTCTCAACCGGCAGCGGCCTCTTCTCTCTCTTGCTCCGGCCGAGTGCCTTCCGCTTGATGTAATGCGACCTCTTGAGCGCCTGAGCAGGGGAAGAATATTCCTCGAATATGCTGCCGCCGCTGCCGCAGCCTATCTCCCTGAGGGACCTGCTGACCTCATCGACGGGGAAGTTGAGGACGGCCTTGGTTCCCTGGAGGGACAGCGCCGCCTGGTCGTAGGCCATCGCCGCCGCCTCTGCCGTCTCGAACGTCCCCAGCCACACCCTCACCCCGTGGCGGGTCGAGTCCCTTATCTCCGCCGCGTACTTCCCCCACGGCCGCCTCCTCACCCCTCTGTACGCCGCCGCCTTATCAACACCTCCGCCACCTCCTGCTTTCTTACTGCTCATGAGATCTGCAGAGGAGGAGGAGGAGGAGGAACAAGGTGAGCTGCTGGGTGGGAAGAGCTTCCTTTCTTCGTCGGCGGGAGGAGGAGGAGGAGGAGAAAGCGTTGCCTGGGAGTAGTAGTAATACTGTTGCTCCCCCATTTGCCGGTAGTCGGATCGATTTGTGTGTTCCGGTGGTTTGGATATGGTAGATCTCTTTTCTACAGACTTTGGGTAATTTGTTGTCTTCAGAGAAAGAGAGGTTGATGGTTAGATTTACTAAATGGTTTATTGTCAATTTGTATCACCAGCCATCACACGAAGCAATAATAACACCTAAAAAATGTCAAGTAGTAGTGTTAGATTTCATTTTTATTTTCATTTTATGGTATTACAAGAAATATCTATTTCTGGACAGCCACAGACCACTCATCGGCACACACATAAACAAACCTAAAAAGAGTACAGACTTTAAACAATAAATGTTGGGTAAATACAATTTAATATCCAAACCTTTCATTTTAAACAATATATAGCCAAACCATTTAAAAATAATTTAATATCCAAATCGTCAACTTTCCATCCGTTTGACCGTTAGTTGACACTTCAAAAAAGCTTTGTTTAGGGGAAATTGTCACAATACAACTTTGTTTTCTTGTTTTGGCATTGCAGATGACTGAATATTTAGATATTCTATATCATCATGGTGGAGTCATGGACTTCTCGTGTTTGGAACCACGATATGTTGGTGGTTTTTCAGAGAAGATATCGATGGATATTGATGAAGTGTCGTACTTCAAACTTTTTTGAAGTGTCAACTAACGGTCAAACGGACGGAAAATTGACGATTTGGATATTAGATTGTTTTCGAAAAGGTTTGGCTATTATATTGTTTAAAATGAAAGGTTTGGATATTAAATTGTATTTACTCATAAATGTTTATTTGAAAAAGAAAAAAAATATATATTACAAAACAATCACTCAAAATTTTATGAATAATAAGACAGAAGCCCTAAGTATTGTATTATTAAAGTCCCCAGCATTTATAAAATAACTAATGGCAATACTAATTAACCCTTCAGGAGGTTAGCAATGCATCACATTCCACCAGTCAACTATTCTTTTTTTCTCAATTTGCTGGTAATCATATAGTACTATGTTTGGAAAAATAAAGGATTTAATAAAATTAACCCCTTACCCATACTTTATTTATATATATATATATATGGTGGCTACTTCGGTGCACTCACTTTTTTGGGTGCACTCAGTGCACCCATCTCTAAAAGTGTCCATAATACATCAAATTTTGAACTTTAATTAGTACTCTCAATCTAACATGATGATATGGCATAATCATCATTCTGAGCATGCGATTCATGTCAAAATGCTATCAATTGTTGCTTATGATTTTATGAACAATAAGCACATGAATTTGAAAAAAAAATCATTTAAGATTTACTTTAATTTGAAGTATTTAGGATTTAGAGGTTTAGGGTTAGAGTTTAGGTTTACAGTTTGGGATTTTGCATCGGGATTCCAAATTGAATGTTAAGGGGTTAGGGTAATAGATTGATTTGTTATGATTTTATCTCATATCATCATGTTAGATTGAGAATACTAATTAAAGTTCAAAATTTGATGTATTATGGACACTTTTAATGATGGGTGCACAAGTAAGTGCACCGAAACAGCCACCCCATATATATATATCAAATATTATTGGACCACAAGCCCAATTGAGCTTTTATGGCAGTTTGTGCACTGATACTGTTACATATATAGACATAGTGGTGTTCCGCAGGTTTTTTTTTTTTTTTGCCACGTGACGTATACAAACTTACTTCCAACTAAGAGTATATAAACCTCGATTTTGTTCCAAGGGAATTCACTCACTAGATTTATTTACATTTCTAAATACTAAACATATGTATTGGCTTCTATAGTGCAAATGAGTGCATATTACACACTTAACTCTAAATGTAAAGCTAAGATATCAAATTTTAATTGGTAACATTAGTATAATATATTGATATCATATAGGACCACAACTAATCAATGCATTGCTTTAAGCCCAAATTTTTAATTTTGAACCCTAACCCTAAACCTCAAATGGTAAACCCAAACATTAACCCTAAATTTCTAAATACTAAATCATTCAAATCAAAGTAAGCATTGAATGATTTTTGTGCAAATTCATGTGTTTTCTTGTCTGTCATATCACAAGTGACAGTTCACATCGTTAACATGAATCACCTCCCCAAAATGGCAATTATAAGGCAAGTGCATACTTTTTTTTTTTTTTTGCCAATAGCTAACTTGCATTATCTAGAAAAAGATAGAATGTTTACATCGTAGAAATCGGCCAAAGGCAAAAATCAAACCCCGAAATACCAATATATAGGACACAATGAGAGGGCTTTCTTAGCAACCAAATGGACCACCCGATTGCTTTGCCTACCTATAAATCGGACTGCTAAATCAGACATCTGTTGTTTCCAACCATTAATCTCCTGGAGAATATCACCGCCTCTAGCATTCATCGTAACATCACAACAAATCTGATCCACGACGACCTGCGCGTCCCCAAGGAACTCCACTCCCTGAATACCATGCATTCCACACCATCGAATTGCATCTTGAAACGCTTGGAGTTCCACCAGGTAAGGATTCACCATACTCTCATATCTAGAACCCATCACAAAAACAATTGACCCCATGCCATCCACTATCACCATCCTCACCGCACCATGAGACTCAACATGCACAACATCATCAACATAACAGTGAAAAGGGGAAGAAGGCATCACCGGAGGAGATAGAGGAGGCTGCGGGAGCTGCTCGACCTTGAATCCTCCCTTCCACACTCTGCCACTCTTAAACCTGTAGATTGTACTGACGTAAAAGAGCTGAAATCGTGTACTGAATGTCGTCGAAGGAAGCCCAGTTGTGAGCTTTAATATGCGACAAAGGAAGGAAACCAAATCCATATTACGATACGGAGCAGCATTCTGCTCAAACCATCAACGTTGGAACAAGGCAAAATTAATCTCCGGGGAACCCTGCCTAGACTACATAAGACCCAAACCTTCCCACAGCTCTCTAGCCACGCGGCGGTGGAGGAACAAATGCTCAATGGTTACACACTCACCCCATCACACCAGACAACGTGCGGGGACAGCACAGCCCTTCTCTCGTAGCGCTTCCATCGTCGGTAAAATGCGTAACATAACTTGCCACATGAAAACCTTGAGTTTTGGGTGGAATAGAATAGCCCCAAACCCTTTTCCAGAATGTAGAATCAAACCATGAAACCTCTTCCTTCTATCCACGACCACAGTGACTAAGTCGAACACCTAAGTGATACCCCAACTTTACTGTATATTCCCCTGAAGAATCTGCTTCCCTGACCAGCCTGTCTGGCACAGCATCACGAGGCAAGGGAATCCCTAGAATTCTTTGCACACACTAGGTGGAAAACATTGGTCAAGACAATCCTTACACCACTCGCCTTACTCCTCATCAAACAAAGTATCCACTATCTGATTCGGTTGAAGCAACACAACATGAGGTGGCAGAGAACCGGGTTGAATACCCGAAATCCAGCAATCCTCACGTATCCTAGTACTTTCCCCCTTGCTTATATGCCAATGGATCCCAAATGACAACAATCGACGACCGGCGATAATACTCCTCCACCCCCAAGATGGTTGTGATCCGCTTCCAGCCTCCAAGAAATGAGAATGAGAATAATACTTGCCTTTGTGAACCCTAGCCAACAAACAGTTAGGTTCAGCAAGTAACCACCATCCGATTTTCGCTAAAAGTGCTTGATTCATAATCTCAAAGCGTCTAAAACGCAGTCAGCCATCAAATTTACTACGACACAAGTTCCTCCATGAGACTCAAGGAATTCGATTGCCCCCTGTTTGATTACCCCACCAGAACCGAGCCATATGACGATCAAGCTTCCGACAAAGGGTGTGAGGAAGTAAAAAGCACGCCATAGCATATAAAGGCATTGTCGCAGCCACCTATATTTGAGCAACGTCTCTTTTGCCTCCCACGAAAGGTGCTCTGTTTCCATCCCTGTAATTTTTCAAGCAATTTTTCCTCACTGAAACATAATTTCTCCATTTTTGACCTGTGAACTAGGGTAGAAAGACACAAATACTTATTTGTACCCCCACAACACCAACCCCTAATATCGTAGCCATCTCCTAACTTTCCACCTCATCGATACTTTTGCTAAAAAACATGGTAGATTTCTCCAAATTCACTTTTGACCATTTAAATGCTGATACTCTTGCAAAATCGCCACCAGTTTTGCACATTCCTGGTGGGAACTGCTGAGAAACATGTAAGAGTCGTCCGCAAAGAACAAGTGGGATATGACTGGACATGAGGAATAGATTTTAACTCCCGCCATTGTTAGTTATAGCAAATGATCCATTCGCGATTAATGGGGGTACATGCGAGAGAAGATGAGGCAATTATGTATAGTCATAGTACCTAAGCCTTTCTCATCAATGGTTATTCTTATCCAATTGTTATAAAAGTTGTAGGACAAGTAAAGCGGTTTTAAAATTTATAGTCTTTTCGTAACTTATTTACATGTTCAACTGAAAAATCGAAACAAAATTCAAAGTGTAGCCAAGATTCGATGATTTTTCTTTTTCTTTTTCAAATTGATGGTCATTGGGGTTGGACCAATAACTTCGACTGCAGCAGATTGTACCACTTAAATGGGCTCAATTGGTGGTTGGGATGACTGATGAGCAAAGGCACGTACGTAGGACTCTTCCACACAAACCAGGGAGCTTGATATGCGTTGTTGATGTGGTTCGTGAGTCATCAATAGTTTATTGGAAAACTATTAAGGATTTTGGAGGGACGATTGTCATTGGCTTTTGGTTCAAACGAGGCTACACTCCAAACAAATTCCAATTGCAATGGATGAACATGGAGTAGATACGTTCCGTAACCATATATAACCAAATTACCATCGGCCAAATTAACCCACCTTATCCTTCTGGAAAGTCTATAATTCTTTCCCCTTAATTTTTAACATACGATTTCTCATTCGTGTTAAGTCGGAATTTAAATTTTTTTTGCACGGTTAGATCAGATTAATAGTGATCTTCAAAATGATAATCACTTTTATATATATTTCGAACAAAATAATTGAGCAATTTTTTACCAGTCTATACCATATGGTATAACTTGTATTGAAATAAGAGCATACCATATGATATGAAAAGCTTACCATGATGGTATGAACATACCAAGACTGTAGGATGGTTGAATGCATGATAGTAGGAGTATACTAACTGTCATTTACGACTTTCAACATTGTGTACCACAAGATACCACCCTATACCAAGGTGGTATTGTGTGGTATTTTTTGGTCCTATATTTTGTTCACCCATAAAATTGTATATCCAATAGATCATGATGAACTCGTTCCGCCTGTGCAAAATTTTTCAAGAATAATTTAAAAACGAAGAATATACCATATGGTATCCAGTTGGGAAAGAGAGGCATGAAATTTTGTTTCCAAAAAAATATTGAAAATGGATCTCATTTTGTACAGCACAACGAACTCGTTCCATCTTTGCAAAAAAAAATCTAAGTTAAAACAAAGAAGATATGAGCCGATTAAGAAAACAAGGGAAAATAAAATGTCTTTAATTCTTCACCATTAGATCTGGATTATCTGGATCCACTTAAAAAGAAGGGTACATATTTAGTTACTGATGGGCGTATAACCATGGGTTATGCACCGTATCCGGAGCCGATGAACAGACAGTAGTCAAATAATAATTAACGAATTCTCTCGTTTCGATATTTACTATTATTTAGACTACTTTTGTTATATATTAATTTATGTTCAAACCGTAAAAAAAAGACATTGACAAAGCAGAAAATAAATTAGATTTAGGTCACAGTGATTCCCCCTACTAGTCAGATTAATGATATATGACTCTCTAATTCGTTTTCGCTCTTATTTATATTGCAAAATGTCATTTACCAGTTAAGAATTTCGATTGAGACATAGAAAACTCTTTTGAATAGACTGTCTAGAGGGATTCTATCTTCACTAAGACGTAATATCAAGACAGTTTTGAACTATGCTTCCTAAATTAGGCAAGATTCTCACCTAATACAATGCAGCAAATCGACTCATTCTCGTGCAGTCGATTCCCTACTTCCAATCAATGGTGCTATATTAACCTAATAATTTATTCCTCTTCTAAGTTAAGGCATGAATTGAAAGAATGTGATAAAGGCTTAAACAATTCAATGGTTAGGCACCAATCATATATAATCATAAGTTCAAACAAATAAGATCATCATACAATCATCTATTCAAAAATCATAACTAGTGTTCCTCGTACCCAAGCAACAAGAGGAAGTTAATTCATGGAGGGTGAGAGAATGAACACAGAAGAGGAAGAAGAAGGAGCAATCTTCATGGCAAAGACCTTGATAGGTCCTTCCCAGTCGTCTCCTATGGTGAAGAGCTACTTGTTATAAACGCGCTGCTACGGATCGGGAAATAGCCGGAATCGACAAAGCAAGAATACGAAAGCGAGAATCGAAAACACAGACACACGATTTACGTGGTTCACTAACACGATGTGTGTTAGCTACGTCCACGGGCGAGAGAGAGCCAATTTCACTATATCGAGGAGATTACAGATTACAGAGGAGTATGAGAAGTATTTATAGTACTTCTCCGTGTGGGTCTAAACCTAATCAAATCAGGCAAAGGAAACGCCCCCGCACCCCCACCGGGGCGTTGTCCCTGGACCCCACTCGCTGACCGGGCAGCGAGACCCCCGATTACCAGTCGTAGCGGCTGATAATCCGATTCAAGTCATATCAACACTACTGAAAAATGCTCTTTCTCTGGACTCTAACTCAATATTTAGATATTTTTCTTATCTAGCCTCCCCCCAACTAGAAAACCTAATTTGCCTTAAATACTACTGAAAACTAGGCTCGAACACGACTGTGGCCATGCCAGTGACCCTAGTTATGTTCAACTCGTTAATTGTTTTTCTTATTTGTTTCTTCAATTCATTAACCAATCATCATGACCTGAGCGTGTAAGAGGTTAAAATGCTTAACTATCTCTTTCCCAACAACTCGAGTTATTGGGGCCAAGTGGTTAGTTCGCTAACATGGTATCAGAGCCTAGAACCGAAAGGTCATGGTTTCGAATCCTCATGACGACCCCATTTTTAGCCATTTGTTTAGCACAAGGGATGGTATGTCCAACCTGTGCAAACTAAAGCCTCGTGTGCTCCTGGGCATTGGGCTCGTAAAATCAATTACTAAGCCACCTAGAAGCATCATTCCAAATTGCACCGATTTCCATAATCACGATTTATAGTGTGTTTCATCCAAATATCGTCAAATTTTCTCCAATTGACCTGAAACGCACTAAAACACCAAACCAAGAATAAAAATGGCCAAAACATATAGATCTTGCTGGAATCACAACTCAAATAATGTCAAATAGGGAGTAAAAACATGTATAATATGAGGTGCATAAGTTATATTCACAAGGAAATTTATTAATTTAATGTAAACAAAAATCGCGAATGAGCTAGTTAAAATAAGTGAATTCAAGCACCCAGTTCATCCACCAGAAAACCATTCAAAGGACTAGACAAAATACTATCTTGTTTGTAGGAGATGATAGTGGTATCATTCACTCAAGACGAACAAGCAAATTCATGGCTTTCGGTAGGGTATTTTGAACAACTATTCGAAACCAATGATACTTAGCGTTGAGAATTTGGGACTCCTGATAAAGGTCTTACCAAAAAACTACCTACGATCTAGTGGGGCCCAAACTAGTAGACAATTTTAGAAGTATTAAACAATTGAACAATAATTAAACTGCAATTTAAAAATAAATATATATTATTACTAATTTTTTCAATACAACCTTAAATACGATTTTACAAGTATTAACCCGATTCAAGACTATCTGAATAGTATATTAGTTCAATGAGGCTAACCGCTCCTCCCATAAGGCAACACTCAACAGCCAGATAGCTTTCTGAACCACAAGTCAAAATGATTTGAGGGTTTCAAAATTTCAATTTTTTATTATATTGATGGGATCTGAGTTATTGCTTGACACGTGTCATGATATGAATGGTGGAGCCGCCGGAGTCTTGTCGTGTAGTGGAGTAGTATTTTTTTTATTAATTTCTTTATAGGCATTGTCGGGTATTGTTTGTTGCTGCTCACGCACTACAAACAAAAAAAAAATATTTAATATTTATATATTTTCTTATAGATATTTAATATTGGCCCCAGTAGCCGATGGGGACAATAATGTTACAGAGCTCAGCCTAGAAAAAGTCAAAATCAGAGAAAATGAGGCGATTGGCAAAATCGGACAAGGCACACAACCAAGATTATTTCTTTTCTTCGCAGAGCCATGATATTAATTACTTTTCATGGTAACTTACCATTTTCATTTGGATTTTAAAGTTTTTACTTATTTTACATTGAAAAATAGATTAATTGTAGCTTACAAAATTGCATGGACAACAATATATTTTGAAATGCAACAATATCACACCATCTAAAATTTCTTATGTGGTGATAATAGATAAACTGTTAATCATATATTTTTTTTACTGAAATAAATAAAGATAACTATTACTTTACAAATCACAACATTTTTATACACTTTTTTAAGATAAAAGGTTAAACGAAGGATATATAAGAAAATAACAAGATAAAAAAAGGGTTCGTTAATGTCAGGCTTAACATGGATCTACAGCCTAAAGTTTATTTTCAGTCCCATAGGAGGAGAAAATTAGGGTTTCGAAATGAGCACCCTGCACCCGTAGAATAGAGTTGGATTCCTACGCAGGCTACGCTGCAATCGATAAAAGAGGTTCTAGTTTTACTGGCCTAAAGAACATGGTGCTGTTGGAAAGAATTTTTCATGTTTGAAACTAAACATCTCTTTCCCCTTCATGTTCCAAGGTCCTCACATTTCTCAACTTCCACGCATGATTCGTTGAGTAGCTAGGTTGTCTTACAACTACATGGGGTGGTGCTGTATTCGATAAACAATCTAACACTCTGCAACCCCAATTTTATAATAAACATAACATCAACAATTAAGATTTACGACAAGTCTGATCAAAGATAGCTGGCAAGAATAAACTATACGTCGTATACAGACATTTCGATCAACTTGACATGCACTTGCAAAAAATCTAATACATATAAGACTAACAGCTGAGATCTGTGACAAGTGTGATCAAAGATGGTTGGGAAAAATAAATTATACATATACATGACAGAGTAACTATTTTATTCTCAATCTGACGGTCTGACATGAGAGAAAGTAATAACTAAAATAAGAAAAGTCGGTGCCATAATTTACGGAATTTCACATAATCAATTAATATACCATCCATAAGAATGAAAGTTTGCATACAATGAAAATTGACTCAACTTAATTGCTTAGCATTGGGAGAAGCATAGTTTCATAGAATTGGGTGAATAGAAATTTCAAAATTTACTCAGATTCTTAGTAAGATGTAAAACAAAAAGGGAAAAAGATACAAAAAGAGAGATTAAATGTGGTTGAAGAAAGTGCAATCCATTATTGAAAGTCTGGTCTGTGAAGCAAATTGAAAGTAGAATCAACCATGTGTTGGGCTTGCACCAGACACCCCTAAACATGCTCCAAGATTGTTTAAGGTAATCCTACAACAATGAAATAATTGAGCTAATTAATCAATGTATACCTGGATCGAGCTAGCTCGGGAGCTCTGAGAGCTGGGAGATTGATGAAGCTGTTCTGATTAAACAATGGTGAAGCCAGCGATGGAGGAAGTCGCAGAATCGAATCCATAAGAACAGAGTCGAGTTTCCTATCTAGCGGAGAACAAAGACAGCCCACCTGCTGTTATGGTTTGCAGTACGGGATCCAAAGAGAAGGAGTCGATGGGGGCGGTATTCTTCTTCGGAAAGAGAACGGTTTCTATGAATTATTTAGGAAAAAAGCGTAAAGCATTATCTAAACAAATATATAGTTGTTCTCAGATGTAAAATGGCAATTCAATTTGTGTAGAGCAATGAGTTAGCTTTTCCCAGACTAGTATTATGGTAGGGCGGCCCAATTCTTGTAGCCACTCATTTGTCATTTCGTTTTTTTGGTTGTCACAATAAAAAAAAAATTGTAAAAATGAAGCTGTTTTTTTAGAAACAAAATACAGCTTGCTACTTGGAATACAGCATGTGTAACGAGGCATATATGACTCCTTTTAATGCAGCATGGTTCTCTATGGGTGGCATGGATCTCCTTATACAAACTAAAAGGTCAGGATTTTTGGGAATATGGTGGTGTTTCTGGATCATGGAACTGGAAAAGAATCTTGAAAGTGAGGCATAAGGTCAGAGGGCATTTTCATCAGCAAGGGCAACAGGTCTTTTGGGACCAGGACAAAATGGACAAATTCTCAATAAAGAGAATTTGGGATACTCTGAGACCAAGAAGGCAGTAAGTGGATTGGTTCAATCTGTTATGGCAGGGTAGTTCTATCCCTCGCAACAGATTTATTACATGGATTATCCTAAGTAAAGCTGTAACTACAAAGGAGAAGATGGCTAAATGGGGTTACTCATGTAGTTTGGGATGTGTGTTTTGTAATTGCCAGCTTGAAACTACTGACCATTTGTTTGCTGAGTACGTGCTATATAGGAGTCTGAAGTGTCAGTTGTATGGGAGTAGGTCTGGAGTCTCCTCTTCTCTAGACAGTGAGATTGGCTGGTTAAGGCAGAAATTTGGATCAAAATATGTTGACTCTCAAGCTGGGAAGGCTTTGTGGCAGAGCCTTGTGAGTATTATTTGGCGAGAAAGGTGCAGTAGGGTATTTACAGGAGTGTGCAGGGATAGAGAAGTTTTGTGCAAGGTTATTCGAGAGGAAGTGGTAATGATTTTTGGTAGACAAGTTTTTGACTCATATGTATAGCGTTTTATAGGTAAACTTGAATATTCCTAACTATCAAGGATGTTGCTAGTGCCACCTTTTTTTATGGAATGAGAGCAAACCGATTCATCAAAAAACAAAAAAACAAAATACAAATAAAACTTGTTTAGCTGGAAATTTTGATAAATTCTGAAATTAATTATGTAGATTTTTCAATAAGAAATGAGGCATTTTTTGTGTCAATATCCAAGAAACCGTGTTTTTTTAAGGTGCTAGACATTTTCACATAGATTTCTTATTAGTTTGAGATAATCATAACGAACATTGTTGAGGACAAATCAACTTATGAAGGCAATTCATTCTCTATAAGAATAATCATTAGAAATGAGATAATATAATATCAATGTTAAAAAATGTTCGACGTAAGGCTGACATTGGAGTATTGCGCGCCTAACGCCTAGCTTATCTGGACGTGGCCTAATCGTGTTAGAAATAAAATAGCAATGTGTACAACATGATAAATCAATTAGCAATTCACTATATTTTCGTACTCCAACTCAAATGACCAATAACTTACATTACATAACACTTAATAATAAGAAAAATTTCTCACAAGCTCATAGAAACATAATTGATCGATAAGTTCTTGAGCTATTGGGAAGGTTGAGAAAGAAGATTAGTTTGGAGATTATGTTACTTTTCTTCTTTAATATTGACTATCTAACTCAATCTAATTATGTCTACTTATCTAGATGTCGCCTTACTCAATTGTCGCGTTCTTAATACATATAACCTGTCGTGGAACTCTTAAACAAGGGCCTTTGGCATTGCCTCTTAAGCTCGCCATTTAGTAAGCATGCAAAAGTCCTAAACTGCACAAATTAAACGATACACAAGGATTAAAAGTACTTTCATCACAACTTCATGGCGTGTAAAATTACATTTCACTACTTTAACATGATATTCATATCTTATTACTTCAGTTTAATTTTTCATTTTGCAATATGGAAAAAGACAGTAGCCTTTCTCTGTTGCCGGGTCATAGTCCGCAGACAGCACGCGTGGATCAGTAATTAGTTCCACTTGCTGATATCCAAATCAAAGTATTGAATTTCTCTCATCCAAATATAAAGGAATTTTGTTTGGACGTGACCACACTATACGACAAAACTGAGGCGGCTTGGCCATTCAAATTTTGACACGCAAGTATAATGGAGTGAGATAATTTGTGAGGACTCAGGAAGTATTGCTTCGTGGTTTGTAGGTCTAAAGGGGAAATTTTCTTCTTCGAGTTGACTATTGACTAGTGTAGTGTGCCTTCTTGGACGGGCGGACTTCCTCTCTTTTGGTCACTACTTTATCAATCATAGCATTTATTTTCAACCGTCGGAGGCTTGACAAGGTTATAGAAGAAAATTTCTATAATACAACACTTCGCAAATTTTTTCTCAAAGTACAGAACTTTGACGTGTTCGCTTGAGTGTCAAATGTATTACGTAGTTGTTCACAGGAGACCGAAGATATCTACATCGAATCAATCCAGATCGAAGCAAAATAGCATAGAACCAACTCAGATCTTGCTACATAAACGAACCAGTGACGAAGCACTAGGATCACAATAAATACAAGCGAATGAGTCTCGAACCACCAGGATTCAACCCTGGATCTACACCTAACTTAGGACAAACATTTGAAAGTCCGTAACTTTGTGCTCAGTTATCTTATCATAGCAAAAATTTTATTTCGCATAATGTTCGAAGCCGCAATCTGCATTTGTCACCAAAAAAGTCGTCAGCTACCCCAAACTTGCCTTTTCTGCCTTTTCCAGCTTTGTACAGCCGTAACTTTGAACTCGCTTATCCAATTGATGGAAAAAAATAATTTTTTTATCTTCTTAAGGATTGCAACTTTTACTATTGAGAAGTTTCCAAAAGGGGAAATGTTTTAGTTTTTATCTTCTTAAGGACTACAACTTTAGATTTAATTTTTAAGTTTTCGCAAATATATTTAGATCAATGAGAGCTTGATAATTCAGGTGTCCAAATCTCCTATGTATAGAGATAGAGTTGTTGCTTCGACTTCAATAGCTTGTAAACATTGGATATCCGACTTAAAATTTTATGCAAGAAGATCACAATAAAGTACAAACATTCTATTTTTTCATTTGAACATGCATCAAAATCTCATTAGATTCATGATCCACCTTGCAAGTATTTTCCTTTATTTTAAATTCCAAACCTTTCTCATGCAATTGATACTAAGCATGTTAGTTTTCAATCCAGGCACATAAATGTGTCTTGAATAACCAATGCTGAACTTAGTCTTCACTCTTACAACTCCCTTTTTTATTCACCTCTAGCTTTCTATCACTTTACACCTCTAGATCGTGTAGTCTCTGGAGAGGTAAACCACTTTTTGTTACATGTGATATGGTTACTTCATCCTCAATCCAAGAAGTATCAACGTTCATGATTGATGTATGTTTGTGTTTTCAAAAGATCATCTTAGCAATCTCAATTTCTTCCTCCAGAATTGGATATTTCTCTTCAATCCAGACCATCAACAAGACATCATCTTTCATATCCATGGGAGATTTGAGCTTAATGATTTTTGTCACTTTGGAGATTCACTTCAGTAATGTCTCATTCTATGGCATTTGAAGCATTCCATATTATCTCTACTCAAGTCTTTACCACCTTTACCTCTACCTCTTTCTAGGTAGTATCCTCTTCCTATTCTTTAGCACCCATGTCACCAATTTCATAAGAAACTTTCAGCACTTGATCCCCTTCTAATGCAGATTTTTGTGGAACTTTTATACATGTTCTAGTGAGCTCTAAAGAGCATTAACATTGAGAAGTTCAAAATCCTTCGACTCTTCAATAATGCATACCACATAATTGAACCTCTATATATGTTGACATTCTCAGTATCTTTTCCAAAATTCTCATCAGTCATGGATTCTCTAGAGTTTCTCATGCCATTAGTCACTACCATGACACAACCAAAATACTCAATCACTATTTCTCATTCCTTCATCTCCAAAATACCAAAACTTCTCCAGACTTAAGTTTTTCTTCATGAAGTCTGGCACTCCCTTGAAATTTTATTTCTATGGAGTCTCAGAGTTCTTTAGTAATTTCTTTCTTAATGGTCTTTTTCATAATAGTCTTGTCTATGGAGCTGAGCACATGATTTTCCGCTTTCATGTATTTCAGCCTTTTCTGATGTAAGGTCTTGGTTTGCTCAGCATTGAGTTTGGTTCCTTTAGTAAGTTCTTGAACTTCAGCTATGACTACTCTCTAATACTCTTTGGAACTCAACGAGTTTTTCATCAACATGCTCCAGTGATTATAGTCCCCATCAGACTTGGTGATGGAAACATACATAAAGCTGTTTCTTTCTCCCATTTTTCCTCTTCCTCACAATAATGCTTTTAACACATTGGTCACGCGATCCTTTTCCAAGATATCTCCTCACCAAATCACACTCGTGTTTCCCCTTAACATGATCTACAGTACACTAGTGAAAACACACTTCAATAACTCTAATGTTTGATTAGAGGTTGTTTGAGCTCTGATACCACAATGTGAAACACAATTGAATGCAAATGACGAAGTTTTCTTGACTAAATCACAACCAACTAAGAACATGATTCTTAGTCTTCAAATCCGGCTTCCCCTCTAACTACTCAACCCTCAAAATCAGCTAACAAGCTCCGTTATTTTCAGCACTATATATGCTGCTGATATATTTGCATACTGCAAACCACGACCATGACTCAAGTGACCTACTAAACATACTAGATTGACCAAATCACAATTTAACAAAATGACACAAGATAGACTGAACTTAAAAGCAAATGCTTAGCGCTAGACTCCATCATCTACAGAACCCCAGATTTGATCCTTCGGTTCAGCTTCTATCATTCTTCAGCTTGTTTCAGCTAATTCAACCCACTTGTCCAATTCGTTTTCGATACTGCTTTATCCTCCAGTTCTCTGCTTTGGTAGCCACTTCGCGGACTATACCAACAATACAAGAGCAATTCTACTATGCTATAAAG